CGCAGGGTTTTTTGCTATCTTATTTATTTTTATGGATGGCGATGCCTGACTTGCTGATTTTTAGATTTCACCTCCTGGCAAGGGGCATTCTGAGTCTTTGTAGTGTTTATGTGATCTGGTCAATGGAACAACGTGTCAGATACCCTGTGCAGAATTGTTCCTCTTAGCTGTGCAGGGTGGTGTGGTAGCCTAGTGGTACTCTCGTCATGCTGAAGCCCCGGATTCGATTCCCCACATGGGTACAATGTGTGGAGCCCATTTTTGGTGCCCCCCATTGCTAAAACGGCGTAAAACTATACCCACTCACTTAGGCTGTGTCAGGATAGCTGCTTATGGGTCCTGGATTCGCTCTGATTACGATCCTTTAACTGTCAGCACCTTACCTGTGTTTGTGGTAAACTTCAACACTCAAGGCCCTACACCCATATTATCTGACACTCTGGGATACAGCTAAAATAATGTTGATAAACCGATCATTAATAATCTTGTGTATTATTCCTCCATTCAATAATAATGAATACCTTGGACCCATACACTATTATCTTGTGATTTTATTAAAGGCCTTTTATTGCATCTTGTGATTTGAAACAAGATTCAGCATGAAGCTACTGTTGATGAGATACGCTACTCAACTTTTGATAAGGGATATGTTTTTCTTTCCATGATACACAAAATGATATGTCAAGTGTATATTTAAGTAGGACATGTCTATCCCAATGAAAAGTTGAGTAGGATTTAATACACTTGCTTATTGTGGAGGCGGTAGGTCTTTAGCCTCTAGTCAGAAGCCTGTATCCAGCCAAACTTGGTTCTTGTAAGCTCGCCTTGCAATTGTTCGAATGTTCTGTCTAAATTCTACTGAAAAAATTGCCAAAAAAGTTTTGCGGCCAGTTGACAAAAATTGTTTTGACACAGGTTGCAAGGATGTGTGGACTTAGGTCACTCGATCTCTATTGAATTAGTCTTCAAGAAAGCATTATACGATTGTGTTTCAGGAGCTAGGTGAGGAGGAAGCAGAGGATGGAGAAGAAGGGGGAGAAGAGGAAGAAGGTTAAGATCATCGGATCATCGGCTGTCATCGTCATTTCCCATCATTCACTGGCAGACTACCCTGGGTTGAGGCGGGGGATAACAACCTACACCCATGGCTAACTGACTACACATGGACAACACTTAACTACACCAATGCTAGAGTAGATGTTAAGCATGTCAAGACGTTTTGTTTTTGTATATTTGGCTGTGTTGGTTTATGGTTAACAGATGCGAGCCCAGCTTAACTCCATTACATGTTTGCTGCATTGACTTTTACATGGTATGGTAAATGTAAAGGAGTTAAAGGGTTAAATGTTCTGTGTGACTTTGTGTGTGAGCAGTTTTCAAGTATTAGCTACGACATAAACAGTTTCAATTAATTAGGTAAATAATCCATTGGTGAAGCTCATCTCAGGAAAACTTCTTAATTGTATTCAAGTACAGTCCGTTGTACCGTGGTTTCTGAATGGCATTTCTACGTGGTCGTGAGGTTATTAGATGACCAAGGGTTAGCCATGGGTGTCTTGGAATAATCTTTTGTTTTGGCCTGGATAGGATGGATTCAACAGATTCATTCTCGATGGAGGTCTAAACCTACTGCTTGACAATTATTTTATGATCTTGTTTGTCTTGTGTACCAGATGTTTTATATTTTGGAAAGTGTTTAGGATAGATATGAACAGACGAGTTTCACAGCGAAACCTCTGCATGTTTTAAGTAAATGTGTCTATTCAGTGTCAGATCCTGATGTTAAGAATCAAACACGTTCGATGTTCTTACATATATAAATTCTTTTTGATTGTTATGAGTTATCTTAAAATGTTATTTCTCCTGTGAATTGACCAATGCATCAACCCTTTTTTTGTTTGTAACAGTATTAGGTAGGAAATTTGAATCGAATGAAAGAGTTACATCTCTTGCAATTCAGTTACGTATTTGTGTGTAAAAGTTAACTTTGAGACCATTGTGTAATTAAAGTAGAGGTAAGAAAACAATTTTTAACTTTAACAATTTCTTAACATACTCATGACAGTAATAAATTAATACTGCCGAAGGTTTTGTACAAAGCACATCAACCATCAAGGTCATTTCCATGAAGCATGCGACAAGGCAGTACGTGTTTCTATGTTGGAATAACGGTGTCAAGTCCAGCAATCATTTTTGTTTATTATTATCAAAGATGTTCTCTCCGAGTTCAGGAAACGAGACCTCCGCACTTTCATAAAGTAACAACATTTTGTACATACGTCTTTAGCATTGGCATCGCTTTGCCAGCTTCACAGGAACTTCCCAGTCAGGTTAGTGCTACCTTGCATTTTTAAGCTCCGGAGGAGAGGAAAGGTCTGGCATGTTTGATAAACCGGGATTTAGAATAGGTTGAAGTCTTTCGACTAGCTTCTCTGACTTGGCCTACAACAACGATTTAAGATCTATTGAAAATAAAGTTGTTCGAGGCTGGTTAATGTTTGGTTGTAGTGAGTCTGAACACCTAGTGCTAGATGGAGGCTACAAGTTTACTGTGAGGAGAGAGCCTACTGTTGTCATTTTGTACAAAACTGCAGTGCAGAGTTTATCAGGAACACTGTCTAGTGTTGGTGTGGTTTTGTATAGACCTTTTTCATAACAGATAAATCGAAACATTCGATAACCGTCATGTTAAATCATTAATAAAGATGTGTCATACCAAGTCAAACCAGTTTGTTTTCTTTCCCAGCACAATTCATGCTTTGATCTCAAACTGGGGTAAAAATGAACCCATTTCTTGGTTTCTTTAACTGTGCGACACTTTCTACGGAGGCATGAATTGTTGTGTCTAAGGTTCTGCTCCCAGTACAGAGGAGCATGGGCTTACAATAATTGTGGGTTCAAATTCCAGATTCATCATAATTACCTTTTTGTCAGCACCCAACTGCTTGTGACCATCGTCCTGGACCTGCATCATTTGGGGCCAACCTTCCACTTAGCTGACATGCCTTGGCCCAACTGAAATACTGTTCACAGCCAATCTCATTCAAATCATGTCTTTTATTAAATGTGATACATTTCTGGATTGAGGTCTGAGGATATGAGGTAATGTCAGGTGATCTGAGTGGGTTCTTGAACAACCCTGATGTCAGCTTTCTAGAACAATTTCCCTAGCCCCATCATATTAATAGATGTTAAAAGATGGTACTTCTAGTTACCCTGTCTGGCCCTCGGCATTAAGGGGCTAAAAGGAGGACTTGTTGGTACACTGTGTCTGAGTGGGATATTCATGTTTTAAACTGCGGCAAGGTATCTCTGGGCTAGCACTATAAATCGGTCTGGACTAGTACAAGCAGCCACATGCTTGTTGCTATACAAGTGCAATAATCTATATTTCACCTCACCTTCGTGAACAATTTCGATACATGAAGTTCAGAATTGACAGGGTATATAAAATATCTACAACAATAAAAAGCCCAGCTGTCATTGTATACGGTGAGAAAAGTTGGATTAAGTTAATCAAAATACATAAATCATGCTGGTCTGCAGGTTGCCCAAACCTTGACGCAGGTTTGCTGATCAGAATGTTCACCTGATGTCGATGGAAGGGTCCTTACACAGGTATCGGTCAACAGATCTGATCTTAATGCGACTGTGTTAACAGCTGTATTAAAGCCAACTTACACACTCCAGGGGCACAGATGGCCAGTCATCTAAGGTGCAGGAATTGGCTGTGCAGAGTTGCATACCTTAGACTTGCCAAGACCTATGCATGTGGGTTCAAATTCCAGTTCACCTCAACTGTTTCCAACACAATACTCGTACTCCAGTGGTTAACACTTTCTGAATGTCTTCATGCTTTCCTCCCACATCGAGCCAAGACGCCGTGACGAAACTGGAGTACAGGTCAAAGCAGCGTAAAATGACCTACTCTCTGAGGGAATAATCCAAACAAGGGACCAAACACAGTAGCTTTACCTCACCCTTTATTCTCAGACGTCTACATCCTGATGAAGTACTAGCACTCGTCCTCTGACTTTCAGAAGTTTCTTCCTGGGTCTCGCAATTCCTTAGGTCCAACATCTGCAACCACTTCAGACTCGATACAAGTGAAATACTTGCTCACATGTGACGCGCAAATTTAATGGTCCCTGGTATTCATTTGGCAATATATAACCATGCTCACTCCATGAAAGTTGGTTAGAGGAGAACACTATTATTACTTTGATTAGTGTACATTTAATGCATTCTGTTACCCTGACTTGGTCAACCTTACCTCTGCCACTGAATGCTAGATTGTCTTCCAAAAGTTCTTTCAACAAATTCTGTTTATTGTCCATTTCACTTGTAGACATTTAGGTAACATATTCCATGAAATTGTTAATTTTTCAATACAAAAAGTGACTCCTTGCTATTTGATAGGCTGACAAAGCAATTATTTGTGTTAATGCTTCTCGCAGATTACTGTTTTCTGATTGGCTAGTAATAGTGGGCGTGGCTTGTGTTGTAATATTTTGCTGAACTATGTCACTGATTTTGTTTTACAATCACACTCATTTACTAATAGTCCAGTGGTGGACACGAGATGGATCAAAGTGTCAATCACAAATTATACGCCCCGATTATGTTTCTAGGTTTGTCAGCACCATACCCGTGCTACTGGGTTTCACCAAAGTGGTAAACGTCTGAGACCTGCATCACTTCGGGCTTTCCTCCAACATTAAGTTGACACGCCGTGATATAACTGGAATACTGTTAAAAGCGTCCGTTAAATCCAACTCACTCACAAACTATATGTGATTGAAAATAAATCCCTGGAACTGATGTTGAAAAATTGTTACAAACCCACTCAACTCAGAAAATCTGTACCACCCAGTGTTGACACCAGTAGCTTACTATACAACTATAACTACAGAATCAACAGCACACAATTCTTTGGAATCTTGCTGTGACTCAAACAAGGAATTTGTAGTGATTAATCACCAGAAAATACACGACAATGATTTCAAAAATTGAAGCATCTTTAATATGTCATTAACATACTTGACGGTAACAATCTATGGGCGTCCTCTCCCAAGTGAACACAACGCTTCGTCCCTCTCTTTAGCAATAGATTTGTCAAATCAGTAAGTCTTAAGTGCTGATGTAAATGGCTTTTATCAACACCGGCCGACAATGTTACACAAATATATTCAACACAACAGGACTGAGCCATGGAATAATCGTCCATCACATAAACTCAAGTCTGTCACCACAAACACTTGTTTGAGAGATTGCTCCTGCAGATGTATAGGCTAAATACAAGGTATTTTAACAGTTTGATTATACATGGATATCTTTTTAATGTCAGTTCAATACTTGGTGATGTTTCACGTCATTGACTCTGCATATTGTCCAAGAGGAATGTACTGCACACAAGACCGTGAAGTATTCGTGGTAGGTCTTATCCAGCACCAAGTCAAAAATATATTTTTACAGCAGCTTTGAGTCTCACAAAGGGAAACAACTCGCTTGTTGGTCATATTGCTTTTATCACCACAGGAAAACTGCAATTATCGTTTGCTTTCATCCTAACGCAGCAGTCGAGATATTCCAGCTGTAAGACGGCAGTCACTAAGTCTTCAAGCTCGGACCTGACAAACCAGTGATTGATATGAGCAGTGTTCAAACCTGTCCGGTACAAGAGCACACAATCAACCAGGTCACCGAGTCTCAGCATCCATCCATTTGGTCGCCTTGATCATAACAGGTGGCTTGGCAACAATTCTACCCTGGAATCCACACAGGACTCAACACTGACAGGAAAACTGCAGTGATGGACAATATCGGTGAATGTTCTGATTTCACTGGTCACAACATGACATGTTAAAGAACCATTAATTCATTTCATTAGAGTCCCTTACAAAGTTAACAAGACGACTATTTTTGTTTTGTATATATAATACATCACTTGCACACAATGTCACCACATAATATGTCACGGACCCTACCCCCAGCTAATGTTAAAAAAATCAGACCAAAGACATGAGTCTGTATGTTTAAGTTGCAAGTTTCACGAAGCTGTTTGATTGAACAACAGAACAAACTATTCTATATTTTCTCCAAAAGAAACTACTCCCCTTTTAGTAGGGATATTGTTTTATCTTTCTATGATAAAACCAATTCTCTTAATGTCAAGTGTATATTGAAACATATCTGTCATATCTGATTATCATTATCAACAGATGAGTAGTACCAGTATATGAGCTTTGTTTTCAAGTGATGCAGTCATATTTCCTTCAACACACTTCATATTTCTCTCGATACTACTTTCCTATGAGCTGTAAAAATCTGGGATAGAATTGGTCTTCAGCAACTCATGCTTGTCATAAGAGGCACCAACGGGATCGGGTGGTCAAGGCTGGCTGACGTGTTGATGCACCTCAGCTAACCCAATTGCAGAGATCGATGTTCATGAAGTCAATCATTGGATTGTCTGATCCTGACTCAATTATTTACAGACCACCATCATACAGCTGGAATATTGCTGAGTGCGGCGTAAAACAACGAACAAACAAACCCTTTTCCTCTGTATCTCTGGAAATATATTAGGAATTTACAAGGCCAAAATCGTCAATTTGATAAAACCAAATATTTCTTGAGATACGTTGGAAGAGGAAGAAGTTCTGATTTCAGCAGGATGTCTCCCTTCAGTTCACTTCGGATCACGATCCTACACTGAGACTTCAAAGATGATACGCTAGTTATCCACAACTGAATATCCTTGGTGATGTCCTGGTCGTCATTCCCAATTAGGGGACACATTCTCCGCAGATGTTTGAGAGAGGCGAGACTCAGCACCGGATGCATCAACTCCAGGAGCTTCTTGAGGAAAGTCGGTTGTGAGAAATTGATGGCATATTTCACCCATCGTTCGTGCATCTTGTTTCTTCGTGTATAGTTGGCACCGGCTTGGATGAGACTTATCACCACCTCAAACTCTGCATCGGTGAACCTTCTCCGGGAGCAGTTGACAAACTTGTCGAGCTCATAACACAATGGCATCTTACCTGAAACAGGGAGTCAGTTAGGAGATAAACATTAATTGTTTTCAGATTTGAGGGTGTTATTAATCATTTGATACCTGGAAATTCAATTTGGAACTAAAGGCATAAGCCAGAAGACTCAAATTCTAAATCTTCTGGGCATCGAATACTCAGTCACAACTGCAAATCCGGAAACAGAATGTTTACTGACATGATAAAATACAAAGGTTATTAGTAAATCTCTCTCTCCATGAAATCTCTCAGTTGTGAGACAGATGTGACTCCAAATGCTGTGACATCACCTTGGAATGTGACGACGTCAATGGATGACATCACATGCTTCTGCGATTACTGAAATCGCCTGATTATAAATCAAAAGTTGTTCTGATAAATGTGAATTAAGCCTCATATACGAATGGCAACGGTTTCTCAATTTGTAAGATTGTATTCATACGCACTGATAAGTCCAAAAGACTTCCAGGATCGATTTAAAAAGGTTTTTTAACCAATCAGATTACAGCAGACACTCTTACAGTGTCATGGCAAAGTTTCAAAGACCAAAATTCTCGTAATGCAATTGAAAAGAAAGTATTTTGCAGGGAAATCGGTCTTCAGCAAATATTGAGAGAAATTTGTCTTGTTGCATATATAAACCATATAATACTGAAAGAAACTAAAGAGATATCCTAACAAACATTTAATACATGAAGGTTCGTAGCTTGCAGCAATGTCTGTTAGGGGATTACTGACAATGTGGTTCTCAAAAGTAGTTAAAGTACACCCCATGTTTTCATATGACTACAGTTTATCTGTCATGCCAAAGACTTCTACCACATAGAACATTATTAAACACTATCTCCTATTATTCTAACCCGGCTGGACAGCTTGATACAGTTAGCTTGACTCCCATACTGTCAGTAGCCAGCTGGTAATCAAGGGAATTAGACTTTGCAGACCTAACGAGATGTCACCATGATAATATATTATACATGTACAAGGCAATGAGCTGGAAGCCATTTTGTCCTTTAGCATTTCCTTTGTCACGTGATCACCAAATTGAGTGGAAAATCCAGTGTTGTACCCCCTACACACAACAAGTGCTTTATGAAACAAGCCCCCAGGCTACAATTTCACTAAATCTAACCAAAAACAGCTTACCTTGCCCTTCTTATAACATTCACATAGAAATCATGTAAATAAATATTTCTTTTTTAACCCTCCTATGCTGTTTGTTAATAATCAATGTATAAACCATTCACACTGTTTTGTGAATTCAGCATAAATGCAAATATCTTCTTCTCTTTTTGGCAACTTGCTGTGAAACAGAGTTTAAAGATCAGCGATCTCATTACACAGCCGGTAGTCCTCATGCATATTTAAGTTTCTGCTAATGGAACTGCCGTCTGTAGCAACTGCTGCTGGCCCCTGTGTGGAGAGGACCATGGACAGGGATAGGAGTGAATGTGGATACAGCAAGACACTGGTCTAGTTCCTCACTACAGCTTGAACACAGCTGGGGGGCGTGTCACTTGACAGCTTTTTTCCCCAATGGTACATGAATGGTCATTTTACTGGTGCTTCCCTCAATGACGTTCAGAATAGAATTATGACTTGATCTTCATACAGCAGAACAGTGTCTGACTTCAATGAGTGATTCAGTGTAATCTAATGAAACAGCATGTGAATTATTGCATCAGTGGCAGACCACAGCCTATGTTAAGTGAGTGAGTGAGTATGGTTTTACGCCGCTTTTAGCAATATTCCAGCAATATCACGGCGGGGGACACCAGAAATGGGCTTCACACATTGTACCCATGTCAGGAATCAAACCCGGGTCTTCGGCGTGATGAGCGAACGCTTTAACCACTAGGCTACCCGACCGCCCCCCTATGTTAAGACTTAGTGGACACCTTATTTCCCTTGTCCTCTGTGTTGAAGCTAGTCCTGCTTGAAAGAGACCAGAACCTGGCAGTTAATTCAGTTCCAATTTGTTGCAAATTTGAAGCATTGAGAACTGGTTCACAATTATGCCTCCAATGCTGCTAGTCACTGAGAACTACCATCATTGGATTGTTACTTATCTTCATCACAATTTAGTCGACTCGGGATAGCGGACTAGAGTGAGGTTTGATGGTGGAGTCAGTGCTGCAGGAGTTCAAAACAAGTTGCCAAAATGAAAAGAAGATATTTGCATTTATGCTGAATGTACAAAAACAGTGTGAATGGTTGTTTATACATTGGGTATCAACAAACAGCACAGGTGGGTTGAAATAGAACTATTTATTTCCCTGTTATCAAGAAGGTCACACAGTTTAAGCAGTACAAATATATTGGCGCTGTCCCGCAGAGCAATTGTAGCATATGACTGGTATTAAGGTACGGGATTTACGACCATCTTAGCGTTACAATCGTATTATGGAATGGGGCAGTGGGCTGCAAGGAGCAGTGAAAGAGGCTTCATGATAGTGCAAGGAGCAGTGAAAGAGGCTTCGTTATAGTACAAATGTACCGATAGTTAAAAAATGTTCGGCATAGAAACTGAAAATGTGTGACTTACAAAGGGCAGGTATAGCCTGTGCAAGTTCATCATGACTTATGTGTGCAGTCAGCGATATCCCTGCTTTTTCAGTGTCCTTGAAACAGTGAGTGAATATTGTTTTACGCCGCTTTAAGCAATATTCCAGCAATACCACGGCGGGCGACACCAGAAATGGGCTTTACACATTGTACCCATGTAGGGAATCGAACCCGGGTCTTCGGCGTGACGAGTGAACGCTTTAACCACTAGGCTACCTGACCGCCCCTGTCCTTGAAACAAATCAATCCTTGGCCACACAGTACAGGGGTATAAGCAGCATTCCACACTGTCGGAGGTGAGGAGAAGTGTTGTGTAGCGTCGTTTTCAAGTTTACTGCACTTTATAGCGACGTGCATGCATCTGGGTGTGTGACTGCATATTCTAGACAGAGCTTATGCTTAGACCACTGAGATTCCATACCTCAGTGTAACATGAATACCTCACTCAGATAAAGTATACTGACTCTGAGCCAACCAGTCCTTGTTTTAGCCCCTTAATGCCGAGCGCCAGGCAGGGTAACATCAAGTACCATCTTTTAACGTCTTATGGTATGACGCGGCCCGGGATCGAACCCCCGACCCTTCCGCTCTCCAGGTAGACCCACCATTGGAGAACACTGACAACCATCAGTCAGGTCACACATTTGGACATTGTCACTCTGGTGTGCTGTTATGACAAACATTACCTATTGATGATCAGGATCCCCACAGGGAGACAAGCTTAGGGTGCTGGGACATACCTACCCTGGGTCCCATTCTACTGAGCGATCTTGGCGCTACGACTGCTGTAAATCTATGTTAAGGTATGGGTTCATAATCGTCTCAGCGCTACGACTGCTGTAAGTCTATGTTAAGGTATGGATTCATAATCGTCTCAGCGCTACGACTGCTGTAAGTCTATGTTAAAGTATGGGTTTATGATCATCTCAACACTATGAGAGTGAGTGAGTGAGTACGGTTTTACGCCACTTTTAGGAATATTCCACCAAAATATCAGGGTAGGGGACACCAGATATCTGCTTCACACATTGTAACCGTGTGGGGAATCGAAGCGGGTCTTTGGCGTGACGAGCAAAAGCTTTAACTACTCGGCTACCCCACCGCCTCGTATCAGCACTACAATTGTTGTAAGTCTTTGTTTAAGTATGGGTTTATGATCATCGCAACACTATGACTGTTGTAAACATCTTTGTTTAAGTATGGGTTTAGAAATGTCTCAGCACTACGACCATTGCAAGTCTATGTTAAAGTATGGGTTTATAAACGTCTCAGCACTACGACTGTTGCAAGTCTATGTTAAAGTATGGGTTATAAACGTCTCAGTGCTACGATTGTTGCAAGTCTATGTTAAAGTATGGGTTTATAAACGTCTCAGTGCTACGATTGTTGCAAGTCTATGTTAAAGTATGGGTTTATAAATGTCTCAGCACTACGACTGTTGCAAGTCTATGTTAAGTATGGGTTTATGATCATCGCAACACTATGAGTCTGGGTTAACGCTGCTTTTAGCAATATTCCACCAATATCACAGCGCGGGACACCAGATATGGGCTTCACGCATTGTACCTATGTGGGGAATCGAAGCCGGGTCTTCGGCAAACGCTTTAACCACTAGGCTACTCCACCGCCCCCTCAACACTATGGGTTAATAATCGTCTCAGCACTACGACCTTTGTAAATGTCTATGTTAAAGTATAGGTTTATAAACGTCTCAGCACTACGACCATTGCAAGTCTATGTTAAAGTATGGGTTTATAAATGTCTCAGCACGACTGCTGTAAGTCTATGTTAAAGTATGGGTTTATAAACGTCTCAGCGCTACGACCATTGCAAGTCTATGTTAAAGTATAGGTTTATAAATGTCTCAGCGCTATGACTGTTGTAAGTCTATGTTAAAGTATGGGTTTATAAACGTCTCAGCGCTACGACCATTGCAAGTCTATGTTAAAGTATGGGTTTATAAATGTCTCAGCGCTACGACTGTTGCAAGTCTATGTTAAAGTATGGGTTAATGTCCGTTTCAGCACTACGACCTTTGTAAATGTCTATGTTAAAGTATAGGTTAATAAACGTCTCAGCACTACGACCTTTGTAAATGTCTATGTTAAAGTATAGGTTTATAAACGTCTCAGCACTACGACCTTTGTAAATGTCTATGTTAAAGTATGGGTTTATAAACATCGCAGCGCTACGACTGTTGTAAGTCTATGTTAAAGTATGGGTTAATGTCCGTTTCAGCACAACGATTGCTCTCCATGGGGTTATGTGACCCTGGCGTAGGTCCCATCTTACCACTCTTGTCTTTGACTATTGCCGATGTGCCAGCGAGCAGCAGCTTATAGACTATCTCTCTCCTCACCACGATTCCCTGCTTGGAGTTCTTACAGATGCAGTGTAACGCTGGAACAGGAGCAGGAATATCACTGATACAACACTCGGACACACTGTCCAAATACAGATCTAAATACCAAAGACTACTAATGTATTTGTTTTACAACAAACATACTATAAAGTTTGTGGAAGAAACATGAAAAAAATAAATTAACCTCAAAGTGATTTTCTGTCCTTGATCTTTCCCTCCTGTCATGACTTTAAGGACTGATGCCAATTTCAATAAATGATTGATGCAAGTTCTTCAAATTAAGCATGATTTATTTTATTTTTTTAGAACAGAAAACATTAAAATGTTTTACCAGGATAACCAAAAAATGAATATTTTTACTGGCTTTAGAATGAGTCAAATTTGCAATATCTGTGAATAAGTATAGCTAATGCCGTTTTTAGCAATATTCCAGCAAGATCAGGGTGGGGCACCATGCAGAAATGGGTTTCACATATTGTACCAATTTGGGGAATTGATCCCGCGTCTTTGATGTGACGAGCGAACACTACCCTGATAAATAATTTGCCACATTATGCTACTAATCTTCTTCCATGTACCATTTTCATATCTGTGGCACCAGAATCCACACATGACAAAAACACTACGATAAATTAATCTAGTCAGTGTTGCAGTTGTCATAACGACTCACCTGTAAACCCATCTTCGTCCTTGAGTAATGCATTACAGGTGTGATCCAGCAACATCTGCACAATATTCAATGCTACAGTGCTGTCACTGCTGCAGGCTTCCATCAGCGCTGTTCGACCTGAACAAAAGATATCCCCACAGGGATTGTGGATTAGAATGGGCCACCAGCAACCTATGCCTGTTGTAAGATTATAAATGGATTGGGTGGTCAAGCTCAGTGACTTGGTTCATTGCATGTCATCATACTTCGTGATGGCGTGGTTGTTTCTCAGAACATCAATCATGGGTTTGCCTGGTCCACATTTTGTTATTTAGCTGGAATATTGGTGGGAGTGGAGTTTAACAAGAAGCAAACAAAAAGGAGACAGGATTTGAAATGATGAAAGCCCAGGGCCCCATTCCACAAGTGATCTCAGCACTAAGGTGATCGTTACTCCCATATTTTAACATTGGCTTACGATCATCGTACACTCAGGTGATCGTAACTCCCATATTTTAACATTGGCTTAAGATCATAGTAGGGCTCTGGTGAACATAACTCCCATACTTTAACATTGGCTTACGATCATCGTAGCCCTCAGGTGATTGTAACTCCCATACTTAAACATTGGATTACGATCATCATAGCCCTCAGGTGATCGTAATTCCCATACTTTAACATTGGCTTACGATCATCATAGCGCTCAGGTGATTGTAACTCCCATACTTAAACATTGGATTACGATCATCATAGCCCTCAGGTGATCGTAATTCCCATACTTTAACATTGGCTTACGATCATCATAGCGCTCAGGTGATTGTAACTCCCATACTTTAACATTGGATTACGATCATCATAGCCCTCAGGTGATTGTAACTCCCATACTTAAACATTGGATTACGATCATCATAGCCCTCAGGTGATTGTAACTCCCATACTTAAACATTGGATTACGATCATCATAGCCCTCAGGTGATTGTAACTCCCATACTTAAACATTGGATTACGATCATCATAGCCCTCAGGTGATTGTAACTCCCATACTTAAACATTGGATTACGATCATCATAGCCCTCAGGTGATTGTAACTCCCTTACTTAAACATTGGATTACGATCATCATTGCCCTCAGGTGATTGTAACTCCCTTACTTAAACATTGGATTACGATCATCATTGCCCTCAGGTGATTGTAACTCCCTTACTTAAACATTGGATTACGATCATCATAGCCCTCAGGTGATTGTAACTCCCTTACTTAAACATTGGATTACGATCATCATTGCCCTCAGGTGATTGTAACTCCCTTACTTAAACATTGGATTACGATCATCATAGCCCTCAGGTGATTGTAACTCCCTTACTTAAACATTGGATTACGATCATCATTGCCCTCAGGTGATTGTAACTCCCTTACTTAAACATTGGATTACGATCATCATTGCCCTCAGGTGATTGTAACTCCCTTACTTAAACATTGGATTACGATCATCATTGCCCTCAGGTGATTGTAACTCCCTTACTTAAACATTGGATTACGATCATCATAGCCCTCAGGTGATTGTAACTCCCTTACTTAAACATTGGATTACGATCATCATTGCCCTCAGGTGATTGTAACTCCCTTACTTAAACATTGGATTACGATCATCATAGCCCTCAGGTGATTGTAACTCCCTTACTTAAACATTGGATTACGATCATCATTGCCCTCAGGTGATTGTAACTCCCTTACTTAAACATTGGATTACGATCATCATTGCCCTCAGGTGATTGTAACTCCCTTACTTAAACATTGGATTACGATCATCATTGCCCTCAGGTGATTGTAACTCCCATACTTAAACATTGGATTACGATCATCATTGCCCTCAGGTGATTGTAACTCCCTTACTTAAACATTGGATAACGATCATCATTGCCCTCAGGTGATTGTAACTCCCATACTTAAACATTGGATTACGATCATCATAGCCCTCAGGTGATTGTAACTCCCTTACTTAAACATTGGATTACGATCATCATAGCCCTCAGGTGATTGTAACTCCCTTACTTAAACATTGGATTACGATCATCATTGCCCTCAGGTGATTGTAACTCCCATACTTAAACATTGGATTACGATCATCATTGCCCTCAGGTGATTGTAACTCCCATACTTAAACATTGGATTACGATCATCATTGCCCTCAGGTGATTGTAACTCCCATACTTAAACATTGGATTACGATCATCATAGCCCTCAGGTGATTGTAACACCCTTACTTAAACATTGGATTACGATCATCATTGCCCTCAGGTGATTGTAACTCCCATACTTAAACATTGGATTACGATCATCATTGCCCTCAGGTGATTGTAACTCCCATACTTAAACATTGGATTACGATCATCATTGCCCTCAGGTGATTGTAACTCCCATACTTAAACATTGGATTACGATCATCATTGCCCTCAGGTGATTGTAACTCCCTTACTTAAACATTGGATTACGATCATCATAGCCCTCAGGTGATTGTAACTCCCTTACTTAAACATTGGATTACGATCATCATAGCCCTCAGGTGATTGTAACTCCCTTACTTAAACATTGGATTACGATCATCATTGCCCTCAGGTGATTGTAACTCCCATACTTAAACATTGGATTACGATCATCATTGCCCTCAGGTGATTGTAACTCCCATACTTAAACATTGGATTACGATCATCATTGCCCTCAGGTGATTGTAACTCCCATACTTAAACATTGGATTACGATCATCATTGCCCTCAGGTGATTGTAACTCCCATACTTAAACATTGGATTACGATCATCATTGCCCTCAGGTGATTGTAACTCCCTTACTTAAACATTGGATTACGATCATCATTGCCCTCAGGTGATTGTAACTCCCATACTTAAACATTGGATTACGATCATCATTGCCCTCAGGTGATTGTAACTCCCATACTTAAACATTGGATTACGATCATCATTGCCCTCAGGTGATTGTAACTCCCTTACTTAAACATTGGATTACGATCATCATTGCCCTCAGGTGATTGTAACTCCCATACTTAAACATTGGATTACGATCATCATTGCCCTCAGGTGATTGTAACTCCCATACTTAAACATTGGATTACGATCATCATTGCCCTCAGGTGATTGTAACTCCCATACTTAAACATTGGATTACGATCATCATTGCCCTCAGGTGATTGTAACTCCCATACTTAAACATTGGATTACGATCATCATTGCCCTCAGGTGATTGTAACTCCCTTACTTAAACATTGGATTACGATCATCATTGCCCTCAGGTGATTGTAACTCCCATACTTAAACATTGGATTACGATCATCATTGCCCTCAGGTGATTGTAACTCCCATACTTAAACATTGGATTACGATCATCATTGCCCTCAGGTGATTGTAACTCCCATACTTAAACATTGGATTACGATCATCATTGCCCTCAGGTGATTGTAACTCCCATACTTAAACATTGGATTACGATCATCATTGCCCTCAGGTGATTGTAACTCCCTTACTTAAACATTGGATTACGATCATCATTGCCCTCAGGTGATTGTAACTCCCATACTTAAACATTGGATTACGATCATCATTGCCCTCAGGTGATTGTAACTCCCATACTTAAACATTGGATTACGATCATCATTGCCCTCAGGTGATTGTAACTCCCATACTTAAACATTGGATTACGATCATCATTGCCCTCAGGTGATTGTAACTCCCTTACTTAAACATTGGATTACGATCATCATTGCCCTCAGGTGATTGTAACTCCCATACTTAAACATTGGATTACGATCATCATTGCCCTAAGATCGCTTTGTGGAATGGGACTCAGGTGTCCCTGTCATAGTCCTCATACTTGAAGTAAAAATAACAGGGGTTCCTAGATCAAACTACTGAAGCCACCCCTCAAGGACAACATTGGACACAATGTATTTGGATTGTCCCCATATCTTCTAGTTCACTAAGCTTCACTGTGTATTTATGAGACAACTGAGGAATGATTTCAGCAGGAATAGATTGTGTCTTTGAATTCTTAGTTCAATTCCTGATTCATATACAACATGTTAGCAGAATATTTAACAGTGTTCAGTATCTGAATATCTCCGACTTGTTCAGTACAATTCCTGATGCAACTATGATGTTACTGGCATAATCAGAGAAACAAGATTTGGCATCTATATAAATACATCAATACTACTCAAAAGAAGTAGAGGACCATGTGAGACTAACTATAGTAATATGAAATAATCTAGTGGTCCTTAACTTCTTTTGAGTGCTATACTTAATTTTGTAAGAACAATTTCTAATCCATATATGATGGTATTGCCATTATGAAAGACAAAGGATCTATGTGAACACTCTGTCTTGTCAGTACTCATGTTTAGGACATAATTCACTATGGCTTTACCAGCATTATCCTGAGTATTGACGTCGCAGCCGATGGCCAAGAGCGCCTGGACATAATCAGCAAAGCTTCGGGATGCAATGTGCAGCGGTGAGCGACCAAATCTGTCTCTCACATCTACGTCAGCGCCAAAAAACAGTACTGATGACAGGATGTCTTTTGTCACTGAAACAAAAATATGTATATATTGATTAAACAGTCAACATTTGCTATAACAAGTTTGGATAAAGCATTGAAATGGCAGACTTAACATCCTTGAATATCCAGTGTATCAAATCTCCAGTTGATGATGATCAAAACCCTGGGCCCATTCACCACCATAGCTTTGTTTCAGAAATGATGTGACCAACTCAATCTCCCTTATAACTTACTTTCTCTCACAAGCAAACTTGACATCCACAACAAATCAAAACACTTCTCTTCTTTGGCCCTCACTCTATGAAGGTTCATACTCCAATGAACTCACACAAAGTGAAAGTCAATTCTTATAATTTTTTTATCACAATTTCTTACCTCAAAGGATGTAGGCCAAGATCTAAACACAATTTTATTTAGTATGTGTGACTTCATGTTTACACTGACAGCCATACAACAACCAGCTATATCGCAGAATAAAATAGTTCCTCAAAAAGAGAGTTGACATAAGCGTGTGGATGCATAACTTGTTCTTCAGAAACATCTTACATACATGTGTTCAAATAATATGACCATTAGATGTGAAAGATCTGTAGAGAACTACCTCAGTAATTCAGTCAAATTGACAGCACGTCGTAATACATTTACATCAAGTACAAGATGTCAAAATAGCTGACAAGATAAACGTGACGGGAGAGATTTCCTAAGTTGTTCTGAATGAACCTGTGGCGGTTACATGTGTTAGTCATCATTGATCAAATGGCCGATCATTGAAAGGTGATTAAAGATGCGTCAAACAGACACTAAGGTAAATTCATAGATTGCTGGAGACGGTCAGTGTCAGCCTAGACACAGATCGAGTCGATACTAGGATAGTTTAGATGAGCATTTCTTCGTTTGTTCATTAGGATAGGCCCTAGCAAGGATATTCGTAAACAATCATGTAGTCACGCTCTCTGACTTTTCTCAATGTATACTGAAACACTGAGACCAGGAATAAAGGTTCTAAATGATCAGAAAGAACACTTATGTATGTTTTTGTGCTAGGGAATTCCCAGGGGTTTCCCCAGGAATGTGGAAGTAGTCCGTCAGTGTTTACGTCGTTCCAAGAACATGGTCTCGTGAAAAACGTATGAACGTCAAATTGTGTCGTTCATACACTTATGAATGTCAATTTCGCGGTCATGTGACAGACCTCTAGTCCAATGGAAAAGCCGCATATCGTGTAAACTTCAAATTAAAAATTTATATCATAATGGAACGTACAGAAATTTATGTTCAGAACAAACACTCTCATATCGAACTTACGGATTTAACAAACTGTTTTTGGTCCCATCCATTTATTGTATATATGCTTATAACAAACTATGGTTATAACAAACTAAAATTAGTGGTCCTTTGGAGTTCGTTATAACTGTAGTTTACTGTATTAGAATACAATGCATGCACTTTGCTGAATTAATCAAGTGCAATGCAGATTTGGGTAGAGACTGCTAGGAAAACACCATGGACGGCCTGTAACTCTGTATAGTGACAACTCAATATCAAAATGGTTTCTAGGGAGCTGCACAGAGATACGGGTTCCCCAGCTAAAGTGAATGGAGACATAACACACCGGACAGTCAAGAATTGTAGACGTCACTGAATAATGCAATTTTACTAGGGCCACAACAAATACACTATGAGGTGAATACGATTCATATCACGGATATAGGGTAACAAATACGAATAATAATTCACGAATACAATAACAAGTCAGCAGTTGATGTATTATTTGTTATATTCAGTGAAATAATAACATAAATTATTTGACATGGTTGGTTAATTATTAATATATTATACATTTATATACTGCATTTATCCAGGTACTAGTATCTGCTCAAATGCGACAATGACCAGTGACCACAGTACTGTCAAATTAATTATTATAAGAGTTTTGTCTTATCTATGCATATATGTTCTTATGGATATTTTTAGGTATAGGGAATGTAAATGCACATGATTGCATATTCATAAATATTTGATTCTAGTGGCCATGAATAACGAATTCAATTCATGAATGGATACATTTCTATTCACCGAATACGCGAGTGAATCGTAACACCCCTGAATTTGACATGGACGTGATTCTAAACTCGTACAGACAACTTGGGAAAACAATGTAAGATGAGGTCATGTTTACCCCCTTGCTGCTGGTTCATCCCAGTGATGATGTGCAGTAGGTACGCATTGGAATCATCTTTGAAGTTGGGATCAGTTCCCTTCCCAAGCAGTCGGTTCACCTTCTCCAGGTTTCTCTTCCGTACGGCATCCAACAACCCCCGCTGGTTGTCCGACAGCCGCTGGCTCTTCCAGTACTCCACCATCTCACCTGCCTCCTGTTGGAGAGAAAGGTAACTATGATAGGCATATATGCTGGTCCTGCATGTTACCACTGGTGGAATAAATATCCTAGGGCTAAAGTTTTTTTTACCTTTCTACGACCTACCATTATTAAGTTGTTATTTGAAATTGCCAACGGCTGCGACAGAAGTACTTTCCAAAACATTTAATAGGAAGCTGCAATTAGCTGATGCTGAGTTTAGCCATAATCACTCATTGCGCTTACTGACATCAAATGTGTCAATTGATTTGAAGAAACCATTGACTGACCAATCAAAATGAAGTATTTTCCAAAGTATAAGTAGCTACATTTGAGTTTTACGCCACTTTGAACAATGTTTCTGTCATATAAGCGTGTCAGCAAAACGCATGTGGAAGTCCAAAGTGATGCAGAATGTAGACATTTACCCCCTTCTCACAAATATGAGCACAGTAATTGTGCTGACAAATCAAAGATTCGAATCCACAATCAGGAGAACCTAATACGACAAGGGACGTAAATCTTTACAGTGAATTTTGATGCCTTTGACGACTGGGCCACCCATGCTGTGGTGGGATGTATTCAAATGTATGTTTGTTTCATTTTGATGGAGCTTCAGTTTTAAACGCTACATTGTTAATGGTATATCTCTACATTGAAATGACATGGAAACATGTTAGTTTGTAGAAAGCATTCAGCACATGTGTCTACCACAACGATAATTCACGAAAGTGACACACCCGATACAAGCACTGCAGGTGTGCTGAACACAGTCGGGCGGTTCCACACACGATAGAAAGACATGTTTTCCTGAAGATGACATCTTGACAGTTGTGATAACCGTTTCTATACAATTGTGCACAAGTACAATACTTTAAAGCATAACCGCAGTCACATTTACAGCGAAAAGGGATAAATAATAACCTTGATCTCATGTTGAAGATCTCTTGAGGTAGCCATATTTGTTGACAAGTGAAAATGAGGCTGTGAAATGAGTTCTAATGAATAATTACCGCGTAAAGTGAAATATATCAACGATATTTATAACAAATGTAGTTAAGTAGCCATATAAAGCGTACATATTAACTGAATATACCTTAAAACAATGAAATAAAACGAACTTGGTAAGTCTCAATGTTTAGATTAATGACAATGTAGTTTATCGACTGGTATGTACTATGATCATTTGACAGATGCACGTGCAAAAGGAAAATCCCGTGCTTCATGTGACGTAGATAGACTGTTTGACTGCTTATTTATTGGAAGCACTATTGGTAAGTGTCATTTCTCTCTGCACCAAAGTAAATATTATATTTATTTACATGTGACAGACCGTTTTATAAATGCCGACTGTTGGTACCAATTGGAATGTCTGGTCAAAATGACCGCGTAAGAATATTACTTGTCTGTTATCAACTGCTAATTGGGTGTAGCACTTCCGATTATTGGAGTAAATGTTAAACATGTACTCATGCAGTATTCTATCTGTCAGTGAAATAGATATGACAGTGCTCTACTTCGTAGGCATTGATATATATACCAGCTATGTGTAATGTATATATGTCACGATGTCAACAATACATGATACCAGGTAGAAACACTTGCCTGTTGGGAATAACGTGAGATAAAGAGGTATGATGTGATATTGCGATGGAATTGGCCGAGAGCCGCGATGGGGTCCTACATCTAGGGTCATGTCTTGACTGAAGAACCCAATCGCGGCTCTCGGCAATGATGAAATATGTTAATGTCTAACAATATGAAAAGAATTCTTAAAGATTTATGAGCTTATTGAGCAAAGCGCTTATTACATGAAGTCTGAAGTCTTGTTAGGCCATAATAACATCCATGATATTAAATACTGTAATTCAGATTATACTTCCCATTAACCAAATTAACTACAAAAACAAAATCCATCCATCCATCCCACATGTAAAAATCATTTAAATGAAATTCTTATGATTAATGGCAAGGTCACACAAAAATACACATTATTTAAATGTTTAAACAGTTTAACCTAAATTACCTTAATCTGCAAAATGAAATATTGATTTGACGTAATAAGCGCCCAGGGCGCTCTCAAAACTAGAAATAGGGGGCTCTTCTTAGAATATTATTTTGGTGAAAAAAACAGAGTTGAAAGATACATTTCGTGGTTTATATTCGACAGATATATTTTTCCAGAATTTAATTACCAATAATAAAGGGTGCATATTACACATGAGTGTGTATTATATGCGAATAAAGGTCGGAAGGGGTGCTTATTGGGATTGTTCACTAGCCAATATACAATGTATTAGCAAATCTCGCCGTGGGCGCTTATTAGAGCGGGGTGCTTATTACGTTAAATAAGGTACACATTATTTAAATGTTAAAACAGATTAACCTAAATTACCTTAATCTGCAAAATGAAATAAATACTGATCTTGCTTGTAAATGAGAAACTTTGTTGTACACATTAAGCAGTGCTGGTAACACATTATGAAAATGTTTAAACTAAATAGTGGATATAGGAATTTATGCCTTGGCCATGCAGTGTGTTATGAATACATACCATCAATTAGTACAGTGAATATGCAGTGCATCCTTCTAGCACATAGTCCCAAGTGAAATTGTCATGTTTAATAAATCTTTGTTACTAAGTAATGGTATTTTATGTATATATGTGGACGTTCTTAACAGTTATCATCCGGAATTGGGCATTTCTGACCTTTTCAAAATCAATAACAACACCAAAAATGAACCCACAGTACAGTACATGGTAAGACACATTTGTGCCATTTCTCACCATTTAGGCATCTATATATGTGAGTGAATTTTGCTTAAAACTGCAGACAGCAATATTCCAGGTCTATAAGAGCAGTCAAGTCGGGACCAGGCTAACCAAAAGCTGAGCTGATTGGGATGCCCCTGGTTTTTTTTGTAGGCTATGATTTCTGGGATTACCGTTTTTGTGAACACCCGGTGTCATCAAACAGCGTCAAACCATATTCACTCACTACACTGATTGTTACACACCACACATCGTCTTTGGTAGGCTTAAGAAATATTAACGGTGACTAAATGAATCAGGTGGTCAGACTCAGTGACTTGGTTGATAGCAAGTCATCATACCCTCATGATAGGGAACATTGCTCACAATGTGAATCACTGAATTGTCTGGTCATATTGCTGGAATACTGCTGAGTCCTGCAGTAAGCAAAAAACATGTATAAACAAGCATAAAAAATGATGAATGGTTGGTCAGATTTATAACAAAGTACAAAGAAAATGTCACAATGTTAAGGGTGCCAACCCCCTTATGGTATGCCGGATGCAGAGCCCTGTTAGAGTGGTATTCTGGGTGCCACAGTGCAGTACGCTGGATGACAAGAAATGTACATAGATGCCAATATTGCAATGTTGAAATATATTTTTTATCTTTTCTTCTTGCAAAATATGTGTGTAAAATCCCAGTCAATGTACTTGCGCCAGTCTATTTAACTTGATATGACTTGAGAGTTCTTAATATGTTTGATGCCAAGACAAATTTAATGGTGTGATGGAGCCCCCTTATTCAGTTGGCTGGGATAAAAAGTGTTGTTTTTTCTAAGTTTCAGATGGCAGAAAACTTGTGGACTATTAAAACAGGATAATCAAATAGTGCAACACTTTGAGACACCACTGAGGGATAATATTTGTTTATGAGATGATTGTGAATAGTTTCTGTTCAATTAAGACCCAATTATTGGCTGTTATAAGAAATTTATCTGGTATGTTCAAACCAAGTGCCCTTGGCAACAAATTGGGAAACAAATACTTTTTGTTCTAAATTGGGATTTTCTTAAAAATGCATATTTTCTTACTTTCAGGGGTGTTTTAATATTTCATTCAGTGCAAAGATGTATAACTAATCATTAAGGCCTTTTCTTGTTTATTGGTCCTGTTATCAGTGTAAAGCAAGTCACCTCTGCCAAGCAATAACAATAGTTTTTACTGTAATAAGATTTGTTGGCAAAAATCTATTATTCCAATTTGGCAATTTTCATGACATTCACTTCAGACTTTGGGTCGAATATTGGCCCCTGAGCTGCTCTAGATACATCCTTTGATATTTTTTTCTACTTATGTGGGCTGGCTTCGTTTGGGTCTTTTGGGGGATTTGTTTTATTTTCATGTACCGTTTCCATAGCAATTTTTAATTATGACCCATAAAACTTTCTTTCTGCTTCGTTGAGTATGTAAACGAGGGTCTGACTGCAGACATGTATTCTCAATTAAGTAATTCCGATTCTCAAAGAAGACAAACTTCTCTGCAGGGTGGGCATCTATATTGATTTAGTTGGTGATGCTAATGTTCAGATGGGGAAGAGTTGCACGCTTGCATCACTCACAGTCTGGGCTGTTCGCCACATTAGTGACGATCACAACCATGCTAACTTTCTCGGGGAAGCATTCACATTTAATTACTGCTTTCTTCTCACTTAGTCATACAAGGTGATCTAGTAAAAAGTAATATTGATGGGATCATTTTCACTTCTCATTAATTTTCCATTTTGGGGGAGAAGTATGGATTCTGTTCAAATAAAATTGTTCGTTTAATTGTGATATATGAATGAAGGTTCTTTGAGGGATAGAATGTGTGGTTGAAGTTTGTAGCCCAATTTATCATAATATTTGAAATGCATACAAGATTCTTAAATACCATGAATTTTAGGTTAACTGGTTTCCGTATTGAATATTACTATTTGTTAAGACTATGATTGAATTGCATGTGAATTTCTTTTTATTGAAACTAGATTTGTCATTTTAATTCTAACCTGTGACCTGTGAATGCGGCTAGGGTTAACATTTCTCAGGCAATCATATTTAGCTTTTCAGTTGGTATGGCACTCGAACTGTTAAACGAGAATGGATTTATATTTTTTGTAAATTGAGTTATTTGAATTTGATACAACAAAAAACAGAACAGATGTAACAACATCAGAATACTGTAAGAAGTATTATCCCAGTGGACTGGTAATTCTTAACACAATAAATTTGATATTTCGCTTGAAACACAGGCAGAACAGTGGACAAGTTCGACATTAATGATGCATGAAAATTAAAGCCAGACACTGGGTGTGTGTAGCAGTGATGGCGATACTGATTAACTGTTGCAGGTCAAATGCTGTGTTATTTCAGTCATTTACTTGGATTACATTATGCTTGGATTATATTATAGGGGATTGGAAATATTGGCTGCTATATACACCTGTGGTATTACTTCTTGTGGCATAGAGGGCACGGGCGGCCCAGTCGTCTAAGGCGCCGCATTTGCTGTGCAGAGTGGCGTCCCTTGGGCATGCCAGAAACCTATGATCATGATGATTGTGGGTTCATATCCCGGTTCGCCCCGATTATGTTTCTAGGTTTGTCAGCACCATTCCCATGCTCGTGGGTTTCACCGAAGTGGTAAACGTCTGAGACCTGCATTACTTCGGGCTTTCCTCCCACATTAAGCTGACGCCGTGATATAACTGTAATATTGTTAAAAGCGGCGTTAAAACCCAACTCACTCGCTCACACTGACATTAATAGGGAAAAACTCATGATGTTGAAAAGATTATTGCCCTTTGTAGTTTGGTGGAAACACAGTGCGGTATGTATAATGTGTGTTGCAGCATTCGGGGGTTCGTTTTTAGTAATATACTCAGATTGGATAGTCGCTCATTCTCATTGTGGAAAATGAAATTTATACCTCATATTCTTAGGTAATATTTCCAATACTTAAAACAAGTCTTCTGTTTCATTCTGCTTGTCTTAACTGTGGTGTGAACTGTTAGGTTAATTGTCGGGTTAGCCTTGTCTGTCTGTTTGTAGAGCCCACCCTTGACAATCCGGGTTAGAATAGGTCTTTAGCAACCCATGCTTGTGGTAAGAGGTGACTATGCTTGTTGTAAGAGGCAAACAAACAGATCGGGTGGCCAGGCTCACTGAATTCGTTGATGCATGTCATCGTAT